TTTCCAATAACACTATTGAAGACACCGAATTAACCATGCCCGGGCCCCTAAGCAATGCAATTCTCGGGGTCCTTTAACCTTTTTTGATTTTCTAACTTAATAAAACGTAATTACGCTATTAGGTAGATTTCATAGAAACCTAACTGGTTACATTTGTTCCTCTCTTTATTTTTTTTTTCTCTCTCGCTTTTTTTTTAAATTAAATTTTTCACGTGTCGATGATACATTTTCAATTTTTTTTTTCTACGTGCGTATGCCTCCTATCCCCTCCATACCATACCCTATGCTGATTGCGGGTGTCCATAGGCTGTTGCCTAAACTGCCTTATGGATAATCTGGCCCTGATTTTGAAGAGTTCCACATATCTGACAATCCACGCTGCTAAATATCCATGAATCAAACTCATTTGCATTGTGACATAGATAACTAATACGTAATGACAAAAGTTATACATCAAGTACAACAGTTAGAAATAGGTACCTATATTAAAACCAATTTCCAACTTTTTAATATATAGTTACAAGTATCACTAATTATTTATAGTCTTCTTGACTAATCTCATTGAGATTAGCCAACTGCGGCAGCAGATTATGATAATAGTGTACAAGAGGGGGGGGGGGGGGGTGTACGCGCAGACATTTAAGTGTCACCCTCTATTACCGGGTCGTGAGTGTTAAGGCGCAGAACCGACGGTTTTTACGTGCTCTCCAAGGCACGGGGAGTGATTAACACCGCCAACTTCCCAACTCCGGCGGTTTTGGCCTGAGGACTTTCTTAACACACAAAGACTCCAATAACTAAACTGAACCAGTACTTAAACCCCTGGACATTCCCGGAAGTGCCAGCCGTTTACACGCTTAGCCACTACGCACCACCGACGGTAGTTACGTATATCTAACGCTAAAAGTAAGTTACAAAGATTAAAACCCTAATCGAATCTACAAGAAACCTATAACTTATTCAATACGTAGCACACACATCGTTAAGTACTTTCATTACCAGCAGTAACCGTGTCTCTAAACCCACTCAGAGTTATCTTAATTCGCCATTCAAAATGTGAACACAATTAGAACTCTGTCAAATTTTGAAATTGGGTCTACCACTATCTTACGTTATTTAACATGACCTATTTGAACATTGGGTACGTGTAATAATGTTCCCTGCGACGAGTTGTTGTAGGTTTTGTAATAGATAATTGGCTAAACTTTAAGTTCCAAAAAGTTTAGTTTCGGACGTATAAAAAGAGTGACATTTAGAGCGTGCAGTCAAGTACTGTTGAGGACTTATAATAAACCTTACACTGTAAAGCATACTTTTATATTTAATTAATGGTTTTTCAGTAACTAACTAAGCTTTTACCATATTCTGCTTCCATTATAATGATTTATAAGATCAGATTCGTTTTTAAGTGTAGGTATATTTTGGTCTGTTTATGTTTTTAGGTTAGATTGATTATGACCTGCAGTACTGGAGGGTGGTACTGAATTAGTTCCAGAGTTGAACTGGAAGTAACACATAAATACCATATCATATTAAAAAATAATTTCTATGTTTAAA